GGGGGAGAGGGAGAGGTGAAAAAGAGTAAAAATTGAGAGGGGGGAAAGGACCTCGGCGGGGGTGAATTATTTTGTGAAAGAATAATTATTTTTCTCTTTTTTCTTTTCTTTTTATTTTTTGGTATTTTTAATTAGAATCATAAACTTCTACTCGCTTCTTAAAGCGTGTAGTCACGCATTTTATCCAACTCAGCAAAGCAAATGCCACATAGGCTTGGTCAATGGTCAAAAGGGTTTAAAATATTACTTTTGAATGAGTAGAGGTGTCTAGATGAAACTTCATTAAGTTTGGGGACCGGGATGACAAAGTGGTACAAGTATAAGTGCCATTTAGGCTATTCTTCCTTTTAGTTTCCTCAAATTTGTTCATATTATAACCAACCTGAAATAGAAGACTAGAAGGAGTTATCAAAGAACAGAAGAGTAGAAGGAAATAAGTAGTTGTGGTTTAATTACCTTTTCATTATATGAACTCTTTTAGGGGTTTGGTATTTTTGAGTTCACCAGTTGTATTGGAGTTAATAGAGAGTGGAGCTGCATATAGAGAGGTCAATGAGGAATTGAAAGCTGTGATTTCAGGCCAATTTTAAATACATGAAAAAGTTTCTTGGTTATTCTCTTACGATTGAACATAGAGAGTCAATTACTCAAATGGTCACTCAACTATCCCAAATTATCTCCTAAAGTCACTTTTCTTTCGTTTGTAACAACAAAGTCACTGAACTATGACTATTGCACTCAGAAGGTCACTCAACTAGATTTTCCAAATTTTGGATTGCCAAATACCTATTTTACCCTCTAAATTATAAATATTGATCTTCTTTTTTTACTATGCTCATTCTTTTGTTATTCCAGCATTATAGATGCTTAAATACTTTATATTTTTATAATTCATAAATAATATTTATTTATTCTATAGGTAAGTCCATAATATAAATTAAAAAGGGAAAAATCATTACATTAAAAAGTTTTAAAAAAATAAAAACAAGATAAATATTTATAATTTAGAGGGTAAATAGGTATTTGCCAATCCAAAATTTGAAAAATCTAGTTGAGTGACCTTCTGAGTGCGATAGGCATAGTTCAGTGACTTTGTTGTTACAAACGAAAAAAGTGACTTTAGGAGAAAATTTGCGATAGTTGAATGACCATTTGAGTAATGGACTCTTGAACATAAGTAGTAGTTTCCTGGAAATTTTTACATCCATGTTGCAACAGTTATTGAAGTAAATGCTACGATTCCTTTCCTCATTTCGTCCCTTTTTCTTATTCTTTTGATTATAAATGTCTCGATAGGGATACACGTTCTCCTGTCCTGGAAGAAAGTCTTCGCCTTTTGGGAGTGGAAAAACTTAGCAAAGATGATGTTCAGAAGATGCAATGGGAAGTTCTGGAAGCTAAAATTGGAAATTGGATTCATTTTATGCGGATTGCTGTAAGTTTTCTCTAATACCCCTGGAAGTAGATAAAAGTTTGGCCTTTGACTAAAGTGTTATTTGAACAGGTCAAATTGTTGTTTTCTGGGGAGCATAAAGTGTGTGATCAAATATTTGAGGGATTTGATTCACTCAAGGATCAATGTTTTGCTGAAGTTACTACCACGAGTGTCGCCATGCTGCTTAGTTTTGGTGATGCAATTGCGAAAAGCAAAAGATCACCTGAGAAGTTGTTTGTGCTTCTAGATATGTATGAAATAATGCGGGAACTTCATTCAGAGGTACGAGACATACTAGCAAACAGACATTTGATTCATAACATTATGCCTACATGTAAGACAGGCCAAGGGCAAACACTCAATCATTGAAGTCTTTAATTCTTTGGGGTCAAATTCATGGTTTATATACTAACAATATGTAATTTGAGCTCTTCTGCAGATTGAATCACTTTTCATAGGTAAAGCTTGCACTGAAATTAGGGAATCTGCCTTTGGTTTGACAAAGCAACTTGCCCAGACAGCCCAAGAAACCTTTAGTGACTTTGAAGAAGCAGTTGAGAAGGATGCAACTAAAACTGCCGTCTCAGATGGAACTGTTCATCCCTTGACCAGCTATGTGATTAATTATGTGAAGTTCCTGTTTGAGTAAGTTCACTCAACTACATAACATGTTTTTTTGCTTGTATATTACTAGTTTACCACATATTCACTAAATTATATGAAGATGTTCCGAGTGGATATCCCGGGGACTCTTTAGTGTGCCATAATATGAGCATTTGTGCCAGCAGTAAAGTAGATAAGACTTGCTCTGATTGCCATGGTTTCTGGATAAGCTCTCTATTTCTTTGGGTTTTCAGCTTCGAGGGTGGATGAATAAGTATCATTATACTCATGATACCATATAGAACCATGCAAAGGAACTGGTTAGTTGCAACTTTTTAAATAAGAACTGCAGTAGCAATATGTCGGGCCTCAGGATTCATATATGGAGAATTGTAAAACACTAATCACAATTTTGGGCATGAGGGTTAATCTGAGGGGTCTTTAAGGTTTTGAGGATTCACATACCTACTGGATTAGCGTATATTTTAGGAAAGACCTTAATCAAATTTTGCTTGACTGCAAAATTGCAGAATTCCCTTTTGCTTTGTTTGGTCAGAGTTTTCTGATGCCTCAGATTTAAGGAACAATGAATCTGGTGGGATGTTTATTATTGCAGATGAGGAATGCTATAGTGACAGCCAGTTGCAGTCCGATTGTACCAATGCTTGTATGCATTATAAATAGCAGCAAGTAGTCATTGCTAAATTAAGAAGTTGATTTAGGCTGTTAAGCTAGGAGGTTAGTGGTAGCTGATTTATTTCTGGTAGTGGTTACTGGTTAAATAGAAGATATGTTGTCCATTTTCATTCATTCACAGATCACCGTCCCTACATTTCATTCATTCAGTTGATTGAATACATAGAGCACAAGTTGAGCTCTTGACTCTCCTTCCCCCCTCCCTCTCTGCATTTGATCATCCTCCAGACTGAGCTTCACTTAACATTTATGTTATGAGAAACAAATAGAGTATGAGGTCTTGACCCTTATGCTGCTGTTATGTCAATGCTAAGCATAGAGAGAACAGACGATCAGCTCATTATTGTTTTCCCATCTTTTTATACTTTGCTGCTCACCTGATATACCCGGTAATGTGGATAAATTTAGTTATGTCGCAAAAGTTTTTTTTTGTTGATAATACTTATGGCGAAATAGTTTCTTCTTCATAGCTTTAAGGCATTCAGTATACACATTACATATGAGAAAGTAATTTTATAGAAAAGGAGATGCCTAAAGATGAATAAGCTAGGTGGTCAAGCTCAGTGATTAATAGGCAGTATCTAATGGGAGGTGGCATTAGTAGAAACTGGAAGATGACTGGTTGCATATAGTGAGAGGGTGGGTAGCACTTTTCCTTACAACACTGATGAGGTACTAGTTCAGTGGGTTGCATAATTCAGATCTCAGGGAATCAATGAGACAGGTGTGAAGTTAGTTGGTCACAGAGATTAGTAATGAGAGCATTTGTCAGATTTCAAAAGGATTTATAAAATAAATGGGCAATTACTATGTACTATAAGGGCAACTGATTCCTATTTTAATAGAACTGTAGATTTTGTGGTTTTAGGTTTATGAAATACTCGTGAGTGCAAAAGTTCTGGAGGAAGAAGACTAAAAAGGGTACGTGGGCAATATCAATCAACGATGCCTCTTCCAAATAAGTTGATTATGAATCCTCTATATCTATTCCACTCAAGTCAGGTCCATTTCATGGAATGAGGTAATAAGTTCAAAAAAGAATATTTCAAATGAAGTTGATCATAATGTACATGTTATTATTCAACAGACCGAGTGAAACCTTTATTCGGCAAGAGCAAGATGTGTTTGGTCGTTTGTCTGGAATGCAAGAATAAAATACTAAAGTGAGTATTATTTACTCCTGGATAAGTTATCAGAAACTATTTATTCCTGGATTTTCTGTGGGCAGAGTAGCTTTCTTTAAATTATTTGGTCAGAGACAGTAGAGTGGTTTCTGCTTATCACTATCTGACCTGCACAATCGTGGAGTATTTTATGTCATTTTCTCCAAAATATGTAACTGAGGACATGGCATCATATGCTGCTCTGTGTGTGTGTGTGTGTTGTGTTTTANCGTAGTAGCAGTAGTACTTTAGTACAGTCAATAAATAAAAATCGTAATACGGGTTTTTTACCCTCGGTACACCCGTCTACCGTTGTTGGAAAGTCCTTTATTTACCTACTTTTATAAAATTTACGTTTAAAAAGGGTTACCAAACGGTCGACCCCCCGTCGTTACGGTTGGGGGGGTAACTTACGGGAAACCCCCCCGTAAAATGGGACCCTTTAGTTCGGGTAAAGGCTTAAACGTTTTTCCTCGGTAAAAAACGTCGGTCTTTCCCGTTTCCGAAACGGGTTTTTTTTTTTGGGTTTTTTAAACTTTTCGTTGGGACGGTCAAAAACCGTAATCCGTGTCGGGTACCGAAGAAAAGGCGGACACCGTAAAAGTGGGTTAAAAAGTTGGGGTTTAAATTTTTTTTTTTTAAGGGTTTTTGTTTTTT